GTGTGTGTGTGTGTGTGTGTGTGTGTGTGTGTGTGTACAGGTGTGTACAAGTGTGTACAAGTGTGTACAAGTGTGTACAAGTGTGTGCATCTGGACAACTTCTGGTGATGCTCCTCAGGAGCCAGCCACTTTTTCCTGAGATAGGATCTCTTAGTGGTCTGTAGCTTTCCCACGTAGACTACTGGGGACCTATGAGACTCATTAGCTTCCACTTCCCGGGAATGAGACTATAAGCATGTGCCACTTTTAAAAATACTTTTTAAAAAGTTATTTGTCTGTGTATGGGAGTTTTGCCTCCTGTGTCTGTCTACTTCAAGCATGTCTGGTACCTGTGGAGGCCAGAACAGGATGTCAGGTCCTCTGGATCTGGAATTATGGGCAGCTGTGAGCTGTCATGTGGGTGTTTGGAATTGAACCCAGGTCCTCTCGAAGAACAGCCACAGTGGTCTTAACTGTGGAGCCATCTCTCCAGTGCCCAGTTTTTACTTACTTTTTTTATGTTTGAGTGTGTGTCATACATGTGCTGGTGTATGAGAGGCCAGAAGAGGACATCAGACAGCTGGGAGGTAGAGTGGCAGGGGACTGTGGGATGCCTGAGGTGGGTGCTGGGAACTGAGCTCTGGTCTTCCTCTGGAAGAGCAGAGGAGCCCGTAACCACTGAGCCATCTCTCTGGCCACAGTGTCATAAACCTATGTCACAGGCATGCAATCCTGGCTTATCTATTGCAGCACCTTAGGGTGAGTCCATAATGTATACGCATCACTTCGCTTCTAAGTTCTTTGTGTTATTGTAGAGGGGGAAGAAGCCTGATGTCCTGAGTCCCAGGGTCACTGCTGGAGAGGTGGGGTCCCGGCTGAGCCGGCTGGCTGAGCCTGGCAGCAGGGAGCTGAGTCTCTGCTGACTATATGCTGATAGTGCCACCCTCTGTTAGCAAGAAGCCAGCGAGGAGCAGGAGAAAAAGCGGTTTGAAAATGAGTATGAAGCTGCCCGCAGGGAAGCGATGGAACGGATGAGAGCAGAGGAGGAGAGGAGGCAGCTGGAGGACAAGCTTCAGGCTGAAGCCCTGCGCCAGCAGATGGAGGAGCTGAAGCAGAAGGAGATGGAGGTGAAGGGCCTTCCTAGCCTGAGGCAGCCACTCTGCTACAGCCTGTTGGTGGCAAATGCACACATTTACAAGCCGTTCCAAGACGGCAGCAGGGCTGGGGGTTCTGTGGATGGACCCCCTTCACAGCACTGGGTGCCCCCTCAGGTGTACACTCCTTTGCAGTTCCGCTGTGACCCTCCATGGTGTACTCAGACTTTGGGGCATTAATGGTCTAGAGACACACCTGTCCACTTGGATCGGGGGCTTTCCAATGGGACATGCTCTAGCACACAGTGTTCCCCTCGTAGCAGGTTCTGGGTCTAGGAACGTGAGCCATGAGGGATTTTGGTTTAGGAGGCTGTCCTTGAACACTGATTTCCTGAGAGGACTGAGCCTTCAGTTGAGATGGAGGAAGGCCTCATCCCTCTGGTCTCTGACCGTTTGCCTCCCCCAGCCCCCTTGTTTTAATAACTAGAAATTGAGTGCTCATCACTAATTCTAGATGCTAGAGACAGAGTCTGAGGAAACAGAAGTTAAGTCAGAATGTTTGGGCCCACATGGAAAGGCTCTCGGGCTGGGCCATTCTTGTAGGAAGTTTTGTTGAGGTGGGACTCGGAATTCCATGGAGGGGACCACAGAGGAGGCCAGGTCATGCTCATGTAGTGCCTGCCAGAGATGGAGATAGCACAGGAGGACAGTCTGGCTGCCCATCTTACTTGGGTTTACCGTTGTAACCATAGGCAACCAAGCTGAAGAAGGAACAGGAGAACCTGATGAAGCAGTGCTGGGAGCTGGAGAGGCTGGAGGAAGAGAGAAGGCAGATGGCAACCCTCCGGCGCAAGGCGGAGCTGGGGTGTGTGGGAAGCCTGGGCTCTTCCCAGAGGGTGGGCTTCTTGCCTTCTCAGACTTCCATAGGGTCTCCCCAGAACCAAAGTGGGTGTGGCCTGTATGGAGCAGTTGTTAATTGGCCATGCGGACTGAAGCTGCTTGATTCCCATCTTTAGGCGCTTCTTGAGACATCAGTACAATGCCCAGCTCACCAGGCGGACCCAGCAGGTCCAGGAGGAGCTGGTGAGTGAACCGATGCCCCGCAGTCCTTTCATCCTTTGGAAACAGCATCCTCAGGAGAATTGCAGCACACATGGGAGTAGAGAGAAGCTAGTAGATGGTACAGAGGAGTTGAAGACTTTGCAAGCATGGGGCCACATTTGACAGTGCTGTCAATGCTGTTCCACACCTGAACTGTGAGGGCTCGGGCAGCTCCTTGTAGACTGCCTTAGGTATTCTCAGTTGAGAAGCACTGGAGGTGACCCAGATGCTAATGACTCAACTGATCATTTCACAGTGTGGGCACCTGCAACAGAGCACCTGATTCTGTCTCAGTGAGGCGCCAAGTGAGGCCCTCCTCATGTTCTTCCCCATCTCCAGAGATGGCTGCTTCGGTGCATGCCCTCCTGGCTTGTTTATACACACTGTGGAAAGGCGAGTACCCTCCTGTGTTCACTTCCCGTTGCCTTGCTCAGCACATTTGTTTTCAGTGTGGCAGGCAAGTGGACACTAGTTGGGCTTCTTATTGGTAGCTGCTGCTTGGTATTCCTGTCACGAGCTTTAAGGAGCTTGTGAGTGAGCACACTCAGGTTTCCTGATGCTTTGCCTCCTTTGTTAGACTGTTGCCTCTGGTGTCACTGTTCTGCCCCCACCCTTGGAGTCCCCTCACCTTTTTGTTGTAGTGAGTGTTCAGTTATGTAGATATAGATAATAGGTCACTTCCTCTCAGTGGGCATTTGGTGATTTCGCGTTTTCCCCATTTACAGTAAAGCTGCGGTTATCAGTTAGGACATGCATCTATGTTCATGCACTGCTGTAATCTCTTTAAAGAACTGAGGCTAAATAGTGCTCCCAAACATGTCATACACATCCAGGGACATGTGCCTGTGGGGACACAGGGGGCGGGAGGGGTCACTTCAGTAGGAAGCTTCTGGGCCAGTGAGGTGTACCAGAAGTAGTCCTAGGTGGTTAATGCAGCAATCCAGCCCTTCCCTTTTGTCCTGAGAATATACCTCAGGCCCTGCATGGTTGCATGTGTGGGACATGGGACATGCAGACGGGGCTGTGCAGGGAGGTGTGCTCCTCTGTCTGTCTCTTCACTTGGCCCCACCACCCATGGGACACACTTCCTCCTCTAGGAGGCAGACGGGCGAATCCTGCAGGCACTCCTGGAGAAGGAAGACGAGCTGCAGCGTGTCCAGCTGGCCAGGCGGGAGCAGGCACTGGCCGATGCAGCCTGGATGAAACAGGTCATTGAGGAGCAGCTGCAGCTGGAGAAAGCTCGGGAGGCAGAGCTGCAGCTACTGCTGAGGTGAGGAGGCAGCCACTGGCCTCTACTCTGGTTCTGTGAGATGCTCTCAGGTCACTGGGTGGGCCACTTGTTCTGAAACATCTGCTTGTAATTCATCATCCCCAGGGAACATGTCTGCTAGTATCTTGGGGTAGTGACCTAACGTTAGTCAAGGTGGAAATGAGTATGTTCAGGGTAATAATGTGTTCATCTGAAGTCTTAAAATCATGTGGGGAGATTGCTTCCATTGTAGAAATGTTTAATGTCTCTAAGCTCTGTAAAAGTCAGCCTGTATCCTAATGTGCTCCTAAGGACAGTCCCACCATGTTGCCTTGGCTGGTCTCCACCCCTTGAACTCCTAGGGGCCCAGGGGCTGGGACTGCTGGCCTATGTGCCCAACTTTGGGGGGCCTTAAAGTCCAACTCACAGCTGAAACAGCCAAATAACAGGCAATACACATTGGTATCCAGACACTGTTCAGCCAATGAGCAGGTTGCTGGCTGCTGCCAGGTTAGCTAGCAGCCATGCTGGGAGTGTGCTGATCAGGATTGGGCACAGGTAGTGCCCTCTCCCCTCCGTCTCTGATTTATTTACCTCCGTGCTAAGTGGCTGTGGTATTTTTTTTTTTTTTAATATAAGAAGATTTAACTAAAATACTACAGAACCATTGTCCTTAGGTGTCACTTTGGGAAACTGTGTGGAACTGCTTGCCTAAAGCTTGGCAGTTGTGTGTGCTCTGTCTGCCATCCATTCCCTGCCTTTGATGGTGTAGAGCCTCTGTTGTTCCTTTTGTGTCTGTCCAGGGAGGAGGCCAAGGAGATGTGGGAAAAGAGAGAAGCAGAGTGGGCTCGAGAGCAAAGTGCTCGGGACAGACTGATGAGTGAGGTAATTCCAGCTGCAAGGGGCTTGGATGGCCATTGGTCCATGGGGATGTGGGTAACCCTGACTAAATCTTCCCTGGTTATCTTAAGTAGCATTTAAGTGACTGTGTAAGTAAAACAAACTTACTAAAAAGAATTCAGACTTACAGAAAAAACAAGCAGAAGTCCTCAGATCCCTCTGGTCCACGGCTGCTTACTGCTCTTCTGTCTGCTGTGGCTCAGTGCATGGCTTAGCTGCATGCGGTTTTTCCCCACTGTGCTGTTTGAATTGGAGCGTTCTCACTAGTACATCTCTCAGCATCCTACCAGTGAACACCAGATGGCTGACTGCACCTGCGGTTTGCCCTTCCTCCCTCCTCAAGTGGATATTCTGTGAGGCGCCTGCAGGGCACCTCATCAGGAGTATGTGTTCCCTGGGGCCAGCAACCAGTAGTAGACCTGAGTGTGATCGGGGCAGGGGACCTGGTTGGGAAGTCCTTGTCACCCCTGCACTGAAAGAGGTGCTGAAGTGGCTGGATGATGAGTTCTGTTTGGAGATCAGCCCTGGTTGGTCGGTTGGTCGGTTGGTTGGTTGGTTGGTTGGTTGGTTGGGGCTCACCTTTGTGTAATAGCCTACGACTTTCCATCTCCCTCACATCAGTTTCCCTCTGGTTATGGCCACACTACATGTTCCCCTCCTGACAGTGCAGGTGTTGGGCATGTCTTGGTTCCTGGGATGCGGTTGGGACATCTCATTGCTCTGGGTCAAGGTCAGGTTCCAAACAATAGCAGGTGTCTGCTACTTGGAGCCCTAGAGGATGGTGTGACTGCATCCCCTTGTCTGTGGCTTGCTGCTGGTGGGCTGAGTCTTCCTGTATTTCTCTGAAGCTCCTCTGTGCCTGTATAGAGGACTCCCCAGTGTTCCCCCATAACACTGCTGTGTCCTGTAGGCTGCTGCCTTAGTTAGGGTTTCTATTGCTGTGATAGAACACGTGACCTAAAGCAGCCTGGACAGGAAGGGGTTATTGAGGCTTAAAACTCTCAGGTCACATCCATCACTGAGGAAGGTCAGGGCAAGAACCTGGAGGCAGGAGCTGATGCAGATACCATAGAGGGGAGCTGCTTACTGGTTTGTTCCCCATGATTGGCTTAGCCTGCTTTCCTACATAACTTAGGGCCATTTGCCCAGGGCTGGGCCCTTCCATATCAATCATACTGAGGACAATTCACCACTGACTTGCCTATAGGCAACCTTATGGAGACATTTTCTCAACTGATATTACTTCCCAGGTGACTCTAGCTTGTGCCGAGTTGGAAAGGAACAAAACTAACCAGGGCAGTTGGGATGGCTGGGAAAGAGCAGGGCCCACACTGGGCCTAGGGCCCAGGTCTGCTGCCTGTGTGTGGGGATTAGGCTGGACTGGTACAGATTAGCTGTAGCCTGTATGAAGCTTAGACTGGGTGTCTCCCATTGAAATGCAAACCTTTTCCCCTGTGCCAGGTTCTGGCGGGGAGGCAGCAGCAGATACGAGAAAAGATGGAGCAGAACTGGCGGGCGCAAGAGGAGACCCTAAAACACAGGGAGAAACTCCTCCAGAGTCTGGAGGAGGCAAGGCAGTCAGCTCAGCGTGCAAAGGAGGAGCGTGAAGAGCTGAAGTCAGCCAGGAAGCAGGAGCTGGAAGCCCAGGTGGGCACCAGGGGCAAGGGCAGCCTCTACAGGTCAGGACCCTGGAGGCAGCAGGCCCTGCAAGGCTCTCAGGACACTGCAGAGCAGAGCTCGGAGTTCCGTGACTTGGCCGGCTTTGCTCACATCCAGATCCCTTTTGGTTTCTGTGTTAGCCCTGACATTTGCCTGTGAGGCTGAATATGGGTTTGTGTACTTGTGTGCAGTGTCCAAGGAGGCCCAAAGAAGGCACTGCATCTCTGGGAGCTAATTCACAGGCAGGCGAGAGCCACTCACTCACCTGCGGTTGCTGGGAACTGAACTCGGCTCCTCCATAAGAGCAGTTTGCCCTCGTAACTGCTGAGCCACGTCTCCATGGCACAGGCTCCATCTTGGTTCCCTTTTTTTCTACCCCATTGTTCTGCAAACCCATGGCTGCATCCAGAGCTTTTGCAAGGGCCACAGCACTGTCTCCATAGCCTCAAGTTCCCATCCTGGCACTGGCACTTGCCATCTGCCTGGGCTCTGCCCCATGGGCCTTGTCTCTGGTGACTTTGTTGTTGGTGTTCAGGTTGCAGAGCGCCAGCTCCAGGCTTGGGAAGCAGCCCAGCAGGTGGAGGAGGAAGAGGAGGAACTCAAGCGGGCAGAACAGCACTCCGATGCTCTGCTGCAGCAGGAGGCCAAGATCATGGCTGAGGAGGGCTACCGGCCCAAGGTAGGCACTTGCCAGGTGACTGGCCACAATGGCCCCATCCTGGGCTCTCTTGTCCCTCCCTTGTGTCTGTCTTTTCCGGCTGCTTATAGCCTCAGTGCAAAGGTCATTCCTTGACTGGACCTCAAATGGTCCAAGTGGTTTTGCTGGTTCCTGCTGCTTCAGTCTTTGCAAAGATGGAGGGCCTGACTGCTGATCTTGTACCTGTTGTACCCTGTTGTACAAAGTATGATCTAGCAGAATGATGGCCATGTTGGTGATGACGGGATCAGGTCCCAACTGCCAGGTGACAGAGAGACCTACTTAACCTGCCTCCCCCTTCCCTTGACTTTTATCTCTTTCTGTGCATCTTTATGTGTTGCTCTTGAGTGACTTGTGTGAGCCCTGAGCAGGGCACCATGGAGGCTGCCATGCCTGTTGTGAGGGACCTGCTGACTAGACTCTCTGGAGTGGATGGAGAGACTCGGCTACCTGGTCCCTGGCATTCTGAGGGGTGTGGGCTGCAGAGAGAGGGGCTGACTGCTTCACTGTCAGAGCGAGGAGTAGGGGTGGGTAAGACTAGCGCGCTCTTCCATTTGCTGTAGGACTTCAAAGTCCGACCAGGCAGAGGGCTCCAGGCACAGGGAACAGCATTTCCAAAGTCTCCTGAGCATGCATCAATGAGCCAGGGTCATGGCTTCATGGGGCACACTGGCAGGTCCCAGAAGGCGGGCCTCCCTTGTAGCTCAGAGTCAGGGCTTTCTCAGCTGTAAGTGAAAACTCACCCGTGTGCTTCTAATAGAGGGAGGTCAGCTCCCAGAGTTCCAGACTGCTGACCTGATAAATTGTATGCTTTCTTTCTCAGCCCTACGGACACGTCAAAATGGCCTGGGACTGACAACGAGCACAGAGAAGCATGCCAACTTGATAGACAGCTCCAGACATTTGTACAGTGCTTGGTTCTGGCCACAGCTCAGGGTGTTGCTGGGGAGTTCGACCATGCCTGTTCAGGCACATCATGGTCCAGCTAGATGTCAAGACGCCATAGGTGTGCAGTGCCCAGTAATAGCCCTCTCCTGCCTTCCTCACTCAGACAGGTCTTACAGACAGACTCATGTTTACAGTGCTGTCCAGAGGTCTAAATAGATTTTAGAGCTGCTGCAAGTTGTATTCCCAGGACAGGATATGTAGGTTCCCGTTCTCACCTGTACATGTCAGCTCTAGATGGGACCACGAGCCTGGGGGAGGAGGGAGCATTCCAGGTTTTAAAGTTGCCATTTAGTAAGTTATTCTGTTGAAGGCAGACTTGTAAGTCTTTGTGTAGTTGTTTCAGGTTATTAGCTGCATAGCCCCAAAAGGTCATGTGTGTATTCTGGAAAAGCCTGGCAGACTGGGCATTTATTGTACTTTCTGGAAAGTGGGCAATGAAGAAGCTCCGTCTTCTGGAAGTGTTGTGAGGATTCTCATGGGGGCTGGGGTGTAGCTCTGTGGAATGCTTCCCTGGCAGCCTATGGTCCTCATTCCAGCCAGCACCCCCAAGAAGAAAAGAATCCCATATAGCATCAGAACACATGCCACCCCTGAAGAGTCCTCAAGTCACCTGGTGGGTTAGCCTGATAAAGGCATTTGTTTAACCCTGTGAAGCTGTGTTACTTTGCCTGTCTAAAACACCTGATGGTCTAATAAAGAGCTGAATAGTCTATAGCCTGAAAAAGGATAGGCAGGGCGGCATGCAGAAAGAATAAATAGGAAGAGAAATCTGGGGAGAAAGAAGAGCAGGAACAAGGAAAGGAGAGGAGGACGCCAGGGGCCAGCCACGGAGTAAGACGTAAAGGAAGGTATACAAAATAGAGAAAGATAAAAACTCAGAGGCAAAAGTTAAGAAAAGCTGGCTAGAAACAAGCCAAGCTAAGGTTGGACATTCATAAGAATAAGTCTCCATGCGTTTATTTGGGAGCTGTGTGGTGGGCCCCCAAAGAGCAAAGATTAAAAAACAAGACAAAAAACTAACTACAGTGTGTGACTGACTCACTGTGCAAACTGAACTTCCATAAGCCAACACTGTGGGTTCTACACCCCTGGGTCCTAGTACATTCTTCCATGACTGTTATTGGCATGTTATCATGTAGCACATGGCCGTTTGACTTCAAATGGTCCAAGATTTCTTCAGTAGGTTCCTCTCACAGTCATTCTGTAATAGATGGGTTGCAGCCACTATGGCCAGGAGATGGATACTACGTACAGCCTGTCGTCTGCAGCACTCTCAACCTAGTCTCTCTAGGGAAGTTTCCTGGCTGGCAGGTGTCTGATTTAGCCACAGACACACAGACAGCATTGCATGAGACAGACCATGGTATGGCAGGAAGGTGCTAAACAAAAAAAAAACAAAGAAGCGGCCGTATCATCTTTTAGCATTGAAACAGGGTTTCTCTGTGTAGCCTTGGCTGTCTTGGAACTCACTCTGTAGACCAGCTCAGAGGTACACCTGCCTCTGCCTCACCCTTGCTGGGATTAAAGGCATGCAGGGTGTGCCGCCACCGCCCAGCCACAGCCCTGTTTATGGACAGTATTTTCCTGGCATCTGGGTTCTGGGGCACCTTCAGTTCATGAAGTAAAAGTGACACTTGCAGGCCTTTTGTGATGCTTTGAAAAACACCGGGTCTTGCAGTTCTCCATGACCTGGCCTGGGTTCAGTCATCTGGAGTCTGACGTCACTGTCTTTATTTGAGGAAGGGGGACTTCACTTTTATGATCATGAGGACAATGTCATGTGCTTTTCTGAACACTAGCTACAGCTCCTTTGTTGTCATCCACATAGCTGATCGTACAGATGCACTGTCCTTTCTTTACTCATTTTTCTATTTCTTAAGTTCTTTGCATGACCCCAGATGACCTCCACATCTGCAGCCTCCAGAGTGCTGGAGGGCACCAGGCTGCCTGTGCACTGCCCTATAGTGTACCACATCTGCAGCTCCCTTGTGTTCCTTTCCCTAAATACCCAGTCCCATTTGTGTTCCCCAGTCATGGGAATGGCAGCAAACTTCCAAGCCAAGTTCTAGAGACTAGTCATGCCTGGGTAGGCTAAAAAGTTTCTTGAAAGCAGTACATTGTTTCCTTAAAATTGGAAAGGAATTCCAATTTTGAGGAAACAGTATGCATTATGATTTTCTGCCCAGCCTTTATATGGTACTCGGCCAGGGCTTTGTGCACGTTTGGCAAGCACTGTACTAACAGGACTACATCCCCATCCACATCATTTTCATTTGGGTATTTATCTGTATTTTATCACAGAGAACAGCTATAGCCTTTGAAATGTAATTTTAAAAATAAAACAGGGCTGGTGAGATGGCTCAGCATATAATGGAGTCTGCTGCCAAACCTGGCTGCTCAATTCCAACCTCAGGTACCCTCAGAGAACTGACTCCTGCATGTTGTCTTCTCTAAAGAATGTAATACATTTGAAAAACAGATGATATAATAGGCAAACAGTAGAGATAAAGTTACAGGGTATGAGCCAAACCCTAGCTCCTATGGCATGTCCCTAGCAGGGAACATTCATGACTGTCCTGTCCTGTCCTGTGTGTGTGGGAGTCTCCTGTCAGGGCCAGGCCCCTGCCGCTGAACACCGAGACTACATGGAATATATGCCAGTCTCAGGAGGGCTCTTCACCTGTACAGTGAAACCAAACTGGTCCTGGAGATGCACACAAGCCATGTTCAGCTGCCCTGAAGTCTAGAGGATGGAGGTCCACAGGGTCTTAGAAAGACTGCTGGGGTCCCTTACCTGGGGTCACAAGTAGCCACTTGATAATCCTGCCGCCACATTCAGGGAGGGAGTGTGCACGGCTCTCCTGGGCCCAGGTTCTGGTTCCAGCCAGTGCCCATCACACAGCAGCCAGGTAACTCCTCTTGGGCCAGGCCTTCATTCTGTGACATAAGTATAGAAACGTAGGCCATGGGGACCTTCAACAGGGACCTCAGAAGACCCAGCCTTCCGTGTGTCTGCCAGGCACGTGGACAGAATTCTTCCCATTTTAATCCAGAGCCAGTAATAACTCATTCTCCCACCTTGCCTGGGGGCATCCCTCCACTCAGGATGCATGAGCCTGGAGGGGGCGGGGGCTTCCTTTCCTCAGCTCCTGTCAACACCCTGTGGAACCTGGTCCTCAGGCTGTTCCTGTTAGTGAACTGGGCAACGTCTTCACAGAGCAGCAGAGGCTAAGGGATGCCTCAGTGTGAAACAACCAGAATAGATGAGAAATCAGTGGGGGAAATGAGGCGCTGGCAGACAACACTGGGGATGGGAGCCAGTCTGGACTCCCTCCTTACCTCCCCCTTTTGGCTCCAGGTCTGCTGGGTTTTGTTTTGTTTTGTTTTTGGTTTTTTGAGACAGGGTTTCTCTGTGGCTTTGGAGGCTGTCCTGGAACTAGCTCTTGTAGACCAGGCTCATCTCAAACTCACAGAGATCCACCTGCCTCTGCCTCCCGAGTGGGTCTGCTGTCTTTATAATGAACATCCACTTACCTGGTAGAGACCAGGGTTCAGATCACAGCCCTCATACCCCAAGCTGCTTCACTGCTACCTTTGTCTGCAGCAGCTCTGAGCCTCAGGCTCCTCATCTACAAATTGGGGAAGTTTCAATACCTAGTTCTCAGGCGATTGATAACTGGCTGTAAGATGGACCCTGGTAAGGTGGGAGTGGGGGACAGCAGATAGCACCAGAGTAGTACCAAAGTGAGTTCTGGAAAGGGGCTAGAGAGAGAACACAGAAAGGTCGGAAGATGCCAGTGTATGGATTGACAAGTACAAACTGCAATTTCAAAATGTGCCCATCTCTTAGGTGTTCTGGGTATGAGATGAGTTTAGAGAGTAGGCCAGAAGCAGCCCAGGCTAGCAAAGGGAAGAAGCCAAGGCTAGGTGAGTGTCAGCCTGGACTTTTGAAGGAGAGTCTGACCAAGGTGGGCCTGAGAGATGGCAAGAGTTGGGAAGATAACCCAGAGGGAAGACGTTGGGAGAGGGATTTTTGTAGGCAGAGGCTCTGGAATTCCTGGACAGATGCACAAATTAAGACCAAATTCTGAGTGGGTGTGAAGAGTTTGGGAACCTGGCAAGAGAGGAAGCTATGGGGTATGTGGGATGGGGGACAAGAGCCAGGTGTGTGAGTTGAGGTCATGCCTGCCTCTCTTGGAGACCTGCTTCATGGCTGATGCCGTGTTTGTGGAAAGCAGGTAGGAGGATTTGTGGTTGGGCTGAAGCATGGAAAGTCATGGTTAGAGGGCAGAGGTGAGCACCCTCCAGGACTTGTTCCTGGACAACCTCACACTGCTGGCCTGCTGGGTATCAGGCAGGTCCCTTGGGTCCCTCTGTGCGGTGGCCTGTGCTTGGTCTACAGTTGGAGGACACATTCACACAGTGCTGAGTCACGGCCAAAGCTCGGCAGTCCTTTCTGTTGGCCTCAGTGGACACTAGACAGAGCTCAGCACAGACCCCACTGTGGAGGCCCCAGGCTTTGGGGCACAAGTTGACAGTGGAGAGCCATTTGTTTAAGCAGTCTTCATGGTGCCTTGAGGTTTCCAGAGCCCCTGTCACTGGCTTCTTTGCCACATTCTCAAAGATGCCTGGTTTTATGAATGGTCAGATCCCTCACCTTCCCCAATGGGGGGGAAATCTGCCTCCTTGTGTGCTGGTTTCTTCTTCAAATGGAAATAAATCTTCCTTCATAGGTTGCTGTGAAGACTGAAGCAGTCATTATCTTGTGTGTGTCTGTGGGTGTGTACACATCCCTGTTTATTCATGGGGTTAGAGGACAGCTCATGTAAATAGATTTCTACATATGGGTTCTGAGTTCAAACTCAGGCTATCAGGCTTGGAGGCAAGTGCCTTTACTCGCTAAGTTATCTCACTAATGCTTTGAAGAGGTCACCCACATGAAGAACTGAGCAGTACCCAACAGTCAGTGGCAGCTGGAATGATGTCATGATCAAGAGCTGGAGAGGTGCTGTGTGGTGCAGACCTGAGAGCGTCCATAGTAGTGTCTTCCATCATGGTACAAACCTGCAGCAGCAACTGCCTCAGGAGTACCCACACAACTGACCCAGCCCAACATGGGTCTGTGATGGGCTCAGCAGCTCTGCAGGGCTTCTTGGAAAACTGGCCTGGGAAGTTTCTGTTGGTCTGACCTGTGGATTGTGGGTTCTCCCAAGATGTCCTCCCTAGCAAGCTGGACCATAGGGAGTAACATCCCACCTTTCTTAGGCTGGACAGCTGCCTGAGCTACATGTTAAGACCCTGCTTTAAAACACCACCTCTCCTTAAAGAAACAGTGACATGGGAACTTGCCCCACACCTGCTTAGTGTCTGGAATCATCTACCAGCCAGAGGGAAGCAAAATGACCAGAGACACTTAGAGAGACTACCAGAGACACTTAGACTATTTATTGCATAACTGGCAGGCACATACTCCAGAATAATTCCCATGAGGTGACAGTAACTTCAGGACAATAAACAAGAGCAGAGAATGATAGATGCAGGTGAACACTTGGTGTGAAATGCCTCTCATTTTGTCTTTTGTCTATGAAGCATTTTGTTTTCTAAGAGCATGGGTTATATCGACCAGGACAGGAGCTGTGGAGGATAAAAACGTCCTCCTGTCAATCTAGGTTCTGTGATGGAGGTCACTGGAGTCAGGGTGGCACCCCAC